AAACAGGTTATTGTAGGCAGTTCCTAGTCATTGCAGGCACCTTAAAGCGCCTACAAATTGTTATTGCAGGCGCTTTTAAAGCGCCTGCAGATTAAGCAGGGTTCAGGCGCTCCAGCCTACGCCCACTGGGATCTTTCTCGATATGGGATTTGCAGGCCTCATGCAGGCGCTTCCTTGAGCGCTGGGCAGGGTTATGCAGGCACACAAAAGCGCCTGCAATGACCTCATTTATGCGCCAGCAAAACCTGTAACCTTTGTAGTGATGGTATGTTCTTCACCAATCTTTTATGTTGGCTATGGTTATTTTTGAGTTTTCCCAAGAAAACTCTTCATGGATGTGGCTGTGATGCTCTAAACTTCCACAGGCTCATGGCAAAGAATGTTTGGTGGAGATGATGGCAAGGGAAAACTGAGCAACTCACGGGAAAGCTCAGCAAAGCTCCAAAAACTTGTTGAAGCAGCAAATCCAAGCAAGATGAAGCTGCAACATTGAAGGAGGAGCTGATCTGCTAAAGGAGATCCTTTAGCAACAACAACAACAAACCAAACCAAAGCATAAAGAACTGCAAAATGGTAGATTCCAAATGCTTGGTTAATGTCATGTTATCCTCAGCTTTAACACCAAGGAGTGTTGGAGTTGTGGTGTGAAAGCTGCACAAGAGGCAGCAAATGAAAAGAAGGCTGCACAAGTGGCAGCAAAAGGAAAAGAAGGGAGAGCTGCACCAAAGCACGGTAGCAGCAAAGTGCAGCAAGCCAAGCTGCAAATATTGATGAAATGCTGCTGTAATGAAATGCAAATGAGGCTGCAAAGTAGCAGCAAGTACAGCCACATGAAGCTGCACAAGTGGCAGCAAATGAAAGGAAATGAAGCTCCACAAGTGGCAGCAAGTCTTTTAATGTAATCTTGGATTAAATGTATTAGATAAGTATTAGGTGAGAAAATTACCTTTATGTACTATGAAGTTTCTGCTATATAATGGCAGAAAATGAATGAAAAAAATGAGTTTTCACCTCAACAAAGAGGGAACTGCGGGTGGCTCTCTCTTCCTCCTCCAAGTCCCTTCCTTTTCTCGTAAATTCTCCAACAGTTTCAAGGTCCAAAAGCCTGCCCCCCACCCTTGTTCCGCTACTACTCCGATGAAGGGAGCTTGGATATCGTCTTCCCTGATTGGTGCTTCTGGGGCTAGTAATTAATATATCACATCAATTTTTAATCCTCACTTGGTTTGCATCAGTTATCTAGTATTGAACTCAAACACGTTCTTGACACAGGGCAAAGGTGAACATTAGGCCATGGACGAATGTGTTGAAGGACATAAAAGAAGGTAGTAAGAGGATTAACTGGAAAGACAGAGTGCCCTATGCATATTGGAAAAGTAACCCATACGTCGGTCGTGCCAGAGGAGATCTTATGAAGGGCACCGTCACTAACAAAAAAGATAGGAATGCTTGTTTATACATTATGGTAATTAAATTCTTTCACTATATATGTATCTTCTACCAGTAATTGTTTTTGATTTTTCTCTCATATTTCTTAATTAATTACATCAAGTTCTCGATTTTGTTAGGAGTGGGGCAGAGAGAGAAGATATAGATCCAGACAATCAAATCTCCAAGACCAATGCACCCACAGGCAAATTAATCTCAGTTATCTCCTTCTAATTGTCCACTTGCCCAAACTTGCGTTGGTTAATTTGATATCACAAAATGAAAATTACTAGTTACTTGTTTCTAATTTTTAAAACAGGTACAGGATATATATAGAAGGGATAGCATGGCCTGTGAGTGAAAAATACATTCTAGCCTATGATTCCATGACTTGTATGTGAAATCTCATTTCTTCGACATCTTTAGTAGAGGGTTGCTTCCATTACAGCACTATTGGCCCATTAGAGATGATACCAAGTGCGCCTCTCTAAAGTTTTCCGTTGAATGGGGCAACACTCATCCTGATAAGGTAGAGTTCATCCAAAAGGCCACTGTCAAGCTCTTCTTAAAAGAGTTGAAGATAGATTATGGGTTCGATTACATGTTTCATTTGTTAAATAAGTATGCGAAACTGCCCAAATTCAGGCCAGAAGTTCCAGAGGGAGCGGTCGAGCTTTGTCTAGAAGGAATGGCGTGTCCTGAAACTCGAAGTTGGAGGAAATTTATGGAGGAGTCATTGGTGACATCTCCTAGCGATACGGTTCCATGCACCTTGCCTCCATCTTACAGTGTGACAGTGATGCGAGAATTTTTTGAAAGGAAAACTAACGCAACCAAGCAAGTGGAGATGTGGGAAACTGAATATTGGAGCGCAATCCTAAATGTCACTGAAAGCAATAGAACAGGGGGATATTGAAAATGAAGCAGGGAAGAAACAAACCAATTGTCCTGATTCAAGGACCTTGTTTTCTTCAAACAGACTGAGTCTAAGATTGTTTTGGGGCCTCTTCCTCATTGTCGGGGTGACTGGAGTACTAGCTCGTTTACTTTGACCCTGGAATTTCAGTTTGGAAAAGAATCCTTCAAATATTGCGAAACTTTGACCAGAGAGAGTTGACCTCGCATGCCTTTAGGCAGCATGAATTAAGGGATAATGAAGACCGTAATATCGAAATCATTCCAATTAAAGGTGCCGCTGAAGCCCCTGCTGAAGACCCCAATGAAGTAATTAAGTGACGCAGCAGCATCTGCAGAAATAGAAATTCATCATGCTAGCACAGACAGCTCATGAAAAAGCAGTTAACACACATATTTCTATAGCTCAATAACAACAACATTGCGGTTTCATCCAGGTTTTCTTAGTTTTTCTTTACTTATCACATTGTGTTGTGTTTGTATATTGTTCATGATATATAATAATTTCCTCGTTTTGTTGTGCAAATTGTATTAAACTAATAAAAATTATTAATAAGA